AATGAGGGCCATTCTGGGGAGTTACCAATTGAGAGGTTCTCAAGTTCAAAAGCTTCCCCAATGAGTATGAAGGAAAGATCTCCTTCAACAAGTCTCGAGCGTAGATATGTGAGTAGAAGTGGTGTTAAGCGGGGTCTTGATATAGAGGAGCTGGGATGGAGTAGTGCCTCCGTTGGTGGCAGAGAGGAGGATAATAAACTTAGTCGAGACTTACCTCTTGAGAAGCCTCTTTTGGATGGATCATTTCAAGCAGATTCTGTGTTTTATAATAAAGCTGGTCAGGGCAACTCATCTTTGATTTCACAGCCACCTGGTTTAAAAGCTGGCATTGGCAGCCCCTCTTTCATGGGATCTCTAGAAGAAGATAATAGATTTAATAACAGTGGTCGTTACAAGAGTGGTGATCTAAATGTTAGAAGAGGGCATGCAAATGCTTGGAGGGGTGCGCCAAACTGGTCAGCACCTGTTCCAAATGGTTTCATCCCATTTCAACCCCATGGTGCTTTTCAAGCTATGTTGCCACAGTTTCCTTCTCCATCACTGTTCGGTGTTAGACCCTCAATGGAAATTAATCACTCTGGGATTCCATATCATATTCCTGATGCTGAAAGGTTTAATAGTCATTTGCGCCCAATGGGCTGGCAGAATACGATGGATGGTTCTGGTCCTGCTCCTTTTCATGGTTGGGATGGCCACAATGTCAGTTTTAGAGATGAAGTGCACTTGTTTGGGCACCCCGAGTGGGACCAGAGTAGGCATCCAGTGAATGGTCGGGGATGGGATACTGGTTCAGATGTGTGGAAAGGACAAAATGGTGATTCTGTCTTACCTGCAACATTTCAGAAAGAGGACCATCATCTGCAGGTCAATCTTGATGATGTTTATGATGGACCAGAACGTCAAAAGTTTCAATATGAAAATGGCAATAATGGTGCTCAGGCGAAAGGTCTTGAGATAAGATTTGATGTCTTGTCACCAGTTAAGGAATCTTCTAGATTTTCATCTGAGATTCCACATAAGGCACCTGATTCTTCTAAAATATCAAGCGAAGATGATGATGCTCGCTGTTGTCAGGCTTATCTTTGCAAGCTTGACATTTCAGCAGAACTAGCTGGTTCTGATCTGTATGATCAGTGTAGGATTTTGATGAATGTGGAGCGAAATAGAGACTTGTCTAACGATGTAACAATGCTTGTGAATTTGAAGGTATAGAACCCTTTTCCTACACAATTTTGTCTTAATATCTATTTTTGCTGATCTTTGACTTATAATACCCTTTTTTCTCATATTCTTTCAGAATGGTGGACGACCAGTACAAAATACTTCCATTGCTTTACTGAGTCCTTCACTCATTCCTCCAGCTAATGCTTCTGTTTTTCAGGTACTTGGGTTAGCTCGTATATGTATATGTGCATGTGTATCTAAGATCTTTCTTTTCTGTTACTTCTTTGGTCAAAAGAGTTAAACGTACCTGATCTTGGTTTCTGTTCTTTTACTTTGTCTCTCTTTCTTATCTTTTTCCGGGGGGGGGATGACGTTCATCCGGAAGTAGGAAATAATGGTTATAGAAGTTTACCGGAGGAATAGAATTATGAAATGTTTTACAAAAATATGGCCTGGGGAATGTTTCCTTTCTCAGCGGTTTACTTTTTTTGGACCTAAAGGTCCGTACTAATTTATAATATTTCTAATACTTATGAGCAACAAGATTCTTCAGCTACTGTCTGGAATGTTGAGACATATCCTCCCCCAGATTAAATATAGTAAATTCTACTTCAGCTTGCAACTTCTGATTCTAAACTAATGATGTTGTTTCACTTATGTTTTCCGACTTACAGAGAGCCATGGACCACTACAAGAAACACCAGCTACAGATGGGTGCTGTCCCTAATGTCAATGGTGGAACGATAGCATTTACTTCAGCGACCAAGGAGAAGGGGAAGGAGCAAAGTTTTGATCATGTTGTAGACCTAGCAGAGGAGCCAGGTCCGATTTCTGATGCAGAAATGGTGGATTCCGAGATGCTAGATTCAGATCAGCGGAAAGGAGAGGCAGTTCCAACTGCTACCCGTCACAAGAATATGGAACAGCTAGTTTCAACCCAAAGCAGGGAGTTACTGGATCATCCAGATAGCCTTTCTCCAGAAAAATCAGAACAGCTAAATACTGATTTTGGCCACATGAACACGGAGGTGCCTAAACCAGTTTTGAATGGCAATGAGGCGGAAGAGTCCGAGACCGATCAGATGAATTCAGGGGATGTAGTCAGAGATCCTTTGCGGTCACTTGATAATGCAGCAGATGCTGTTCATTTGGCCGCCGATGAGGAAAATTCAAACGATATAAACGAAACCAAAGGTAATAGTTCTGTGTACTGTGCCAAGGAAATACATACCTCTGGTGATTCAGTTAGTGGTTCTTTAAATGATTCTTCCAAGGTATCAGGGTCAAACGAGTCTGAGTCCGTAATTTTAAGTCAGATACATCATTCTCATGAAAGTACAAATTGAGACGATTTCTATATCTTTGTTCTTTTATGAGCATCATTTTAATTCATGATTTTCCTGTTCTTTTTGTCGCCTATCATTATCAAGCAATAAAATGAGATATGCCATCTGATTTCCTGGAGTAGGCATCCTTGCATCTTGATTTATATACTCCGCTTGTTGTTCTGCTGTGTTCTATTTTTGATGCATTTAACATTTGTTGTTTCTTCCTAAATCATCTCTGGTTATTGTCTTTATAAAATGCCACAAGTTTAGGAATCAAAATGTAAGTGTTCTGAACGTTCAGGAACTATCCAAGTAATTTACCCTTTTTTATTTTTATTTTTTTGAACAATTTTTACCTAGGAGAGGGTAGGAGAATTTTGCTTATAATGAGTATTATGAGAATTTTTAACCACTTGTTCTAAAGATAGTCGATAATTTACCTTTTTTATTGTTATTTAAGAGGAATGAACGGAGATGCACTGCATTTGATGTTGGGGATGGACTAAAATGGTATATATTTCAGTTTTGGGTTAAGTTTGGACTGTCCTAAAATGTTTTATAACTTGATTTTGACATGTGTAGCACATCATCCACATATCTTGTTATATATGTATCATAATTCAAGCATTACTTGATACGCTTTTGTACATTTATATTGGAAGCTTAGTTCATGTGCATCCATTGATGGATGATACAGGTGGTATTTATAGCATCCAATTATTTCTCAACATCCAAGCCACTGATGTTGTCGTTGCTTATTGGATTCAGTTGTTTTAAATTCCGAATAAGATGATTATGGTTTACGAAGGATGCCCGAAAGATTAATAGTATTCGAGTGATTTATGGTTTATAAATTTAAAATATTTAGTTGATTTATTTAAATTAAATAAATTTAATTTTTTTTATTAATTTTAATTTTTATAGTATAAAAACTAAATATTTTATATTTTGAAAGAGTAAAAATGTTTTAAAATAATATTAAAAACTACGAAAGAAATTTATATATCAAAATAAAATTTGAAATTAATATAAAAGCATTGATATTTGCATTAATTTAAAATTTCATGAATGGTCCGAAAAATCTAATTAAGTACTAGAAAGGAAATAAAGATGCATAAAAATTCTTCAGAGGAACAAACTAAAATTTACAGTGTCTAGTAAATGTTTTCATATGAATATAATGTTGTCAAAATTGTTATTTAATAGGACGATTTTTTATTATGAGAGTCATTAATAGTTATTGATGACATTTTGAAATTATACATAATTATCGAATATGGATTAATTAAATAAAGATTAAAAATAATAAATTTATTATATCAAAGAAATATGCATATTTAAAGATGCGTGTTAACATAAAACACGTCTCTTTTTAAACACAATAAACTTAATTTATGTAATTCAAATTTTAATTTTATTTATATTATTTTTTATCTTAATAAATTACAATTTTAATATAAGTTTGGTAATTATCTGAGAATGATTTTACCTACCACGATAATTTATATATGATAGATGTGTGCTAACATAAAATATCTCTCTTTTTAGACACAAATAGATTTATTTATTTTAATTCAAATTTTCATTTTTAATTTATATCCTTTTTATTAGGGGTGTGCAAATTCGGGTACCCGAAGTGCGGGTACCAGGATCTTCGAGTAATTGATTTCTCATCTCGCGTCTTGACCCGGATGTTGCGGGTACCCAGATTTTGTAGGTACCCGTATTTTGGGTACCCGAATACCTGGGTTTTTTTCTTCAAATTATTAATTAAAAAGACACACACAATTTTAAATGTTCGAAATTTCAAATTACATAGTCCAACATCCAAACATAATTAAAAAAATTTATTCCAACGTCCAAACATAATTAAAAATTGTCATGTTAGCATCATTGTTTATTTTTAAATATGGGTGACCAAAACAGAATCAAACGTAACATTAGGTATAATTTTGAAAAAAAAAATAATCGAGGGACCAAAACATAAATTATATAATATAAGTAACCAAATAGGTAGTTTATCCTAAAAAATACCTAACCGTGTACTCGAGTAATCGGGTACCAGGAAAATTTAATTTTGTGACCCCGGGTAATTTTTTTAGAAAATTACCCAATTTTTTAAATTCAAGTCTGAAGGTCAACGGATCTGATCAACCGGGTCATTTATTTTTGCACACCACTACTTTTTATCCTAACAAGTAGCGGATTTAAAAAAATCGTAATTATCTGAGAATGGCTTTACCTAACCTGCTACGATAAATTTTAACCTAATGTTTCTCTAAATAAGCCACCAAGTAAAGGACAAAACAGTGATACTATTAAATCTCAAGGGCTAACCATGTCATTTGACAAAATTATCCCAAGTCTACTTCAAGTCTAATTAACTGAATTATATTTTAAGAAAACATTAAAACACAAGGGCGCAACCTGGTTTCTTCACTTCTTCAAAATCACATCATCTTTTATCATTTCCTCCCAAAAACGCCCCCAAATTCTTTAACCCTATATTCCCTCGTTATTTCCCCCATTCTCGATCTCGTTATCTTAACCGCCTCCACTCGCCTCCATTCTTCGCCACCTTCACTCTTATTCCGTGCAATTAGGGTTTCAACCGTCATTTCTGTCTTTTTTTCCGAGAATCGACGCTGGTTATATTGAAAGATTCGATTTTAGGGTTTTTATATTGAATGTTGATATGAGGTTGGTGTTTCTTTTTTATTCGGAGGGTTTTTTATTGTTTCCGGTTTGATTTGCTTTTGAGTTCCCGTAGTTGTGCTCCGGTGATGCCGCGAAGTTCAAGACACAAATCCAGCAAGCATAGTTCCAGGGATGCTAGGGACTACTCGGATACGGAGAGAGATTCGGGCTTAAAGGAGGAGAAAAAAACTAAGGAGGAGAACAAGCCTGGATCCGGTGAGAAGAGAAAGCAGGACTCCAAGGATACCGGCAAAGACCTATGGATTTCGGGGAATGCAGATTATATGGAGGAGCACAGTTCCTCAAAGCGCCGTAGAGAGAAGGTGGATGATGGAGCAAGTGACCGATGGAATGGAGGTGAAGATGATGGTAAAGGCGATAAGAAGTCCAGGACTTCTAGTGAATCGAAGAGTAAAAGACGAGAGGATGCAGAAGGAGATGATACAAAGAGGAGTAGAAGTGAGGGGAGGCATCGAGAATCTAGTAGAAAGGAGGAAAGGGAGAGAGAAAAGAAAGTTAAAGAAGAAAAGAGTGATAGGTCGATTGAGAGCGAGGAACACCGCCCTGTGAGACAATCCGCTGAAAGAACTGGTAAGATAACTTATTGTTTGTTGGCTGTTTAGTGTCAATTTAGCATGTGCAATTGCGCATTACTAATTATTCTGGTGTTTTTCTTTCTGTTGGGTACTATATATTGCGATTGATTGTTATACTATTTTTAGTATATATTGCGATTAATTATATTGATTGTTATATAGGGACAGTATTTATGAATCGCAGAACTTTTATAACTTGTTATGTAGCTTTATCGAAATAGGGATATTATCTATTGTTACATAACTTTATAACTTGCCTTTTGAGTTGGACTGCACTAAAGAATCTTCAGAAACTTTTGCATTTGTAATTAATGACTAGTCAGTCTTAATTAATGTCTCATACATACACCTACGGTTTTGTGTGTGTGTATATAAATAATTATATAGACTCTCAGAAAGCATGCCAAGTTGACTGAGCAAGTTAAATTCAAAACCAAAGTGCCAACGGTTATCTGATTTATGAACTCTTATTTTCTGCAAGAAGCAAATAGTAAAAATAGATGTTTTGTTTGCATGATGAGAGGATGGGTTGAGGAATTTATAAAGTAGGTAACATAGTTGAAATTAAAGGGTGAATATTGTTGCTACCGATTAGTTCTTATGGCTGTGGGAAGGTGTGCATTTTGTATTTTTATGGCCTTCTAAGTATTGTGATAAAGCAACTAATAACTGATCTTAAAACTTGGTGTATTACTTTTTTTCTGCATTGTGATGCACCTTGTGTCTGAGTTCCTAGACCACTGGTTTATGGACCAGAATTAGGTTGCTTTTTTCCCCCTTCAATATTTATCTTCTGTGTTAACTTGAAATTGTTGATTAGCCTTTCCCAGTTAATATTCCTTTTGGCTTGCTTCCTGTTTCTAGGTACTTGTTTTCTAGGAATCCAATTTTGAAGATTACATTGGTCTCCAATATGTAATTTTCTATTAGCTGCAGAGTTTTGTTTTAAAAGTACTTTTCCGTACATGGTTCTCTGTTTTGGATAAGAGTATCATTTATATGTAAATTTAGAGGAAAATCTGCTGGGTTAAGCTTGGAGTTGTCGCACTTCATGTACACTTGAAGTGCATTTATGTGATTTTCTAAATATTTGAAATCAATTTCCCAACTTCTGTTTTAGTTAGTGCGGTGAGTTGGCCTTTACTTGAGGCCTAATATAAAATAGTTTTGCTGTTTAGCTCAAATATGTTAGTGCTATGTCAAGATGCGTCAGGATTTTGAGAGTCACTTTATTTCTGATTTTACACAGATTTAATGATATTGTTAGCTTGTAGACTAGATAATTTACTTGTATGTTTTTTAAATCTAATATTAAGTCTGTGATCTTTCAGTTTTCTGTTTTGTATTTAGATTTCTTATTTTGCTTTGGATTGCTTTTCATTTTGTGTTCTATGCTTACGTGCACTTCCTATAGATTCGCGCTTCTGTTTGCAAAAAATGATAACCTGTATGATCATTACCGAGTCAGTATTGTCAGAGGAGTTTTTTTGTAATATTTGTTGAAATCAAACATTAACTTCTGAGGTGTTTTCTATTAATAGGCTCTTAAATATTCTTGGTAATGTCTAAGTTTTTCTTTAAGATCCAGATGTACTAGATCGGTTGAAAAGTCCTGAATCAGAGAGCCAGTTTGATAGACGACTTAGGATAAGGACGGATGCTTCTGGTGATGGGGATAAGTGTCTGGAAGATAAAGGAGATAACTTGGACGGACAGTTGTCTGTAAGCAATGGTACTGGCAAAGGTGGCAGAGTGAAAGATGAGAAGCATAAGGATGAAAGATACAAGGACAAATATCAAGAAGACATAGACTGTGAAGACAAATGGCAAGGTGATAAGTTGAGAGATGATCGATCAGTAAGTGAACATGGTAATTGTAAGTCTAGTGAGAAGCATTTAAGTGATGGAAAAGATGATGTGAAAGGTCAGCAGAAGAAGTCCAAGGCTCAAGATAGTGACTTTGAGTATGATCGTGACCATGATAGAGAGTGTGATCGTGACCATGATAGAGACTGTGATCGTGAGCATTATAGAGAGCGAGACATGGGACACGAGCGTGAACGTTATCGTGACCATTATCGAGAACGTGACCGCAACCGTGATCGTGATTATGATTCTCAATGGGACCGAGATCTTGATCGAGATCGAGAACGTGATCGTCGTTACAGTGATCGGGACAAGGATAGAGATTGTGACTGGGATGAGTTACATGATGAACGGAGGAGTGCTAGATACAAAGATAGTAAGGGAAGGAAGCGATCTCCTAATGATCGAGATGATGGTACTGATACAAAATCTAGAGGGGCCAAGGTACACTATTCAGACATGGAAAATAAATTGACTTCTGGTAGAGTTGAGGTTGATGCTGATAGGGGAAGGTCTCAGTCACGTCCAGCCAATTTAGATGCAGTTATGGTTAGCAGCAGAAGGAGGTCTTCTCCCAGCTCAAGTTCCCACGGTGGGACTGATGAGTATAGGTACTTTGTTTCTTTATCACACCCTCTTCAATATGATTGATTTCTTGTTCTATGGTTCAAATTATGAACTGTCTAAATAACGTATGGTATGCTATTGAGGTGGAAACTTTTATCAGATTTTCTGATTCTTGTTGGACAAGTTAAACTGATTGTACCTTCTCATTGTCTGTGGCATGCTATTTGTTTTTGTGCTTGTGGGAATGGCCCTATCACTCTCCCAAGTGATTTATTGAGAATAATAAAGTTATTTTCTCTTTCAGACATTTGAAACAAGATTCGAATTATAGATATTCAATGACAGAGAAGAAGTCCAATGCAGCTTCATCAAGAGAGGTGACTAGTTTTTCTGAAACATCTGACAGAGGTGCTAGGTATAGATCCACGGAGAAATCAAGTAGGGTGGATGAGGGCTACTCTGGGGAGTTTGAGAGGTCCTTGAGTTTAAAAGCATCCCCATTGAGCATGATGGAAAAATCTCGACCAACAAGTCTTGAGCGTAGATATTTGAGTAGAAGTGGTGTTAGGCGGGGTCTTGATATAGATGAGACAGGATGGAGCAGTGCCTCTGTTGGTGGCAGAGATGAGGACAATAGACTTTGTCGAGATCTACACTCTGAGAAGCCTCTTTTGGATGGATCCTCTCAAGCAGATTCTGTGTTTTATAATAGAGCTGGTCAGGGCAGCTTATCTTTGAATACTCAGCCACCTGATCTAAGAACTGGAGTTGGCAGCCCTTCTTTCATAGGTTCTCCAGAAGAATATAATAGATTCAATAATAGTGGCTGTTACAAGAGGAGTGGTGATCTGAATGTTAGAAGAGGGCATGCAAATGCTTGGAGGGGTGCCCCAAACTGGTCACCACCTGTTCCAAATGGTTTCATTCCGTTCCAACCTGGGCCACCCCATGGAGGTTTTCAAGCTATGATGCCACAATTTCCTTCTCCATCTCTGTTTGGTGTTAGACCCTCAATGGAAGTTAATCACTCTGGGATTCCGTATCACATACCTGATGCTGAAAGGTTTAACAATCATATGCGTCCAATGGGCTGGCAGAATACGATGGATGGCCCTGGTCCTGCTCATTTTCTTGGTTGGGATGGTCACAATGTTATTTTTAGGGATGAAGCACACATGTTCAGGGGTGAATGGGACCAGAATAGGCATCCAGTGAATGGTCGAGGATGTGACACCAGTTCAGGTGTGTGGAAAGGACAAAATGCTCATGTTGACTTGCCCTCAACATCTCCGAAAGAGGACCATCCTCGGCTGGCTCCTCTTGATGATGTTTATGACCGACAGGATTGTCAAAGGTCTCAATATGAGAATGGCAGTGATGGTGTTCAGGTGAAAGGTCTTGATACAAGATCTGTTGTCATTTCACCAGTTAAAGAATCTTCTAGGATTTCACCTGAGATTCCACACAAGGCACCCGATTCTTCCAAAATATCAAGCGAAGATCATGATGCCCATTTTTGTCAGGTTTATCTTTCTAAGCTTGACATTTCAGCAGAACTAGCTGGTTCTGAGCTATATGATCAGTGTATGGGTTTACTGAATGCGGAGAAAAGTAAAGATTTGGCTAAAGATGTAAAAATGTTTGTGAATTTGAAGGTAGAGAACACTTTCTATAATTCTCTCTCAACATCTCATTTAGCCGATCTTTTACTTATAATATCCTTTCTGTCAAATTTTTCAGAATGGCACACGACCAGTGCAAAATGCCTCCGTTGCTGTGCTGAGCCCTTCACTCATTCCTAAAACTAATGCTACTGTTTTTCAGGTACTTAGTGAAGCTCATTTCCGCATTACTTCTTTGGTGGGAATAGTTATGTTTACCTTTTTCTTTTAGAAGATGGGTTTAAATGAGTTTTGTTGGAAGGAGACAAATAGATGTTATGTACTTCCGATTCTAAACTGATGATGGTATTTCACATATGTTTTCTGACTTGAAGAAAGCCATGGCCATTTACAAGAAACAGAGGCTACAAATGGGTGCTATCCCAATTGTCAATGGTGGAATGTTAGCATTTACTTCAGCATCCAAGGAGAAGGGGAAGGAGCAAAGTTCTGATCACATTGTAGACGAAGCAGAGGAGCTGGTTTCAATGCTTGATTCAGAAATGGTGGATTCAGCTATGCCAGATTCAGATCAGCAGAAAGGAGAAGCTGTTCCGGCCGCTACTTCTGTCGAGAATGTGGAACAGCTAGCTTCAATTCAAGGGAAGTTACCAGATCATCTGAATAGCCTTTCTCCCGAGAAATCAGAACAGCCCAATATTGTTTTTGGTCACGTACACACAGAGGTTCCTGTGCCTAAGCCAGTTTCAGATGGCAATAAGGCGGAAGAGATGGAGTCTGAGCAGATAAATTCAGGGGGTGTAGTTGGAGGTTCTGTGTGGTCGCTTGATAGTTTGGCCGCTGATGGGGAAAACTCAAATGATATAAACAAAACGGGAGGTAATAGTTCTGTATACTGTGCCAATGAAAGAGAGACTTCTGGTGATGGAGTTAGTTGTCCTTTAAATGATTCTCCTAAAGAATCAGAGAGTCAAATTCCTGGATCAAATGAGTCGGGATCCGAGTCGGTAATTTTAAGTCTGATAAATCATTCTCCTGAAAATACACATTGAGACAATTTCAATATCATTGTTCTTTTATTTCATGCATTTTATTTTTGCTTTTGCTGCCGTATCATTATCGAGCAAATAAAAAGAGTTTGTGCCATCTGGTTTCCTGGATTAGGCATCCTTGCATCTGTTCTTTCTGTTGGTGTCGTCAACCCGAGCCCCAAGAGGTCTGTATGGTTAGCATATATTATAGTGTTCAGAAAGGGGAACTCAAGACCCATGAATTTGCCTGCAAATAACAATAATCTGTAGTTCATGTTAACTTGGTGCAGATTATGAACAGAGAAGTTACTCTGATATAGTGTGTGAAAACCCAAGCTGTAATCCGAGAGAGATGGAGTTTGAGATTTGTTTTACCTTTCTGAGTTTTGAGCCATTTTTGTTGAAACATGTTAAGTCTATGTATAATAATATTCAGGTTGCAGTTAATGATTCCAAAAGGTAAGACATATCCCTAGTTTAAAGGACACGAGTCTGGTTCAGAAATGACCAGACAAGACCAAACCTGACCCATTCTTTATTGGTTACTTTTTTATTCTATGTTCAACCCCAATCAACACAATCACAATTGCACCAATCATCAAAATGTAGGAGAAATTTAAAAAAAAACTTTGGAAAAACATACCCATCAATGCGATCAGAGATGTAGAAAACATCATCGTCATTTATAGAACATATATATGAACAAAGTACAAATTTCGGATTTGCTATTTTATTGAACAAACATTATGTACATCCATCTCCGTTATTACGACGAACAAGATACAACTATTTCTCAGGAGCTAAAATAGGAGCTAGCTTCTGGTTTATTTAGCATTACCTATCTAATAATATATATATATATATATATATATATATATATATATATATATGAATGTCTCATCGGTCCTAGCTACTTCATTCCTGCTTCGCTCGGTAATTTTATTCAAGTCATCTAAACAGTTACTGCCTCTTGGGGTTGTCGGATTCTTCTGTCCTTGCGAACCTTCCGCGGATCCTTGGTTGACTGTCGGCAAGTGCCTTCCGGCAAGCATACTGGACAAAGAAAACCATATTATGAATTCCAGTGCAGAGAGGTATGACAAACGAATATCCAATCATAACAAATAAAAACATGTGCTCTTTTCTTTTTTACCTTGATTTTCCTTCCAAAGTTCCTCTTTGTCTTTTTGTTCCTGTATCTCGAGAGCTTTTCTCTTCGATCTTCGGTAGAATAGCTGCTGAAGATTAACGGTCGCTCCACCGGAGAATGGATGACGCTCACGTTAACATTGCCAAGAGTCTGTCATAAAAACATAGTATCATCAACGACCCACCCACCCCATCCTGTGGAAACGGCACAATACATGCTCATTGATGGATTAAAGTTTTACTTTACGAGTCACTTGATCCGGGTTGGTTTTTGAGATCGTAATCAATCGACTAAATAAATCGAGTTTAGAATCGAAAAGCTAACTCGGCAAAAATAATTAAGGCTGACCTTTATATCTCCTTCACTAAACGCTCTCCTCATCCCGTAAACGGTATCGAAATCCATTCCGGGGAAATCGAGAAAATTAGGCTTGATTGCAGCTTCTTGCATCCATTCCATCGAGCTTAAACAACTTGAGCTGACACTTTTCGAGAACGATACATCGCAGAGCATTTCATTTTCTTGAGTTTGGTTTCCATCCGTTTCCATGACTGGAATCTTGATATCAAGGATCTCTACCAGCGGCGTTCCGATCGCCGCTTGTGCCATCAGATCCTTCTCGCACTCATAGAGAACCTCCAAAAGCTGATCGTTTCGAAACGATTCGATGTCCGCAGCCTTAAGTTCTTGTGAAGTAATGACATCTTCACCACACGAGATCAACGAGATGGCTGCAGTCATGGGATCAAGGCCTAAAGCCGGTTCCTCGATGATCGGTTCTGGAGCTTTGAACAGATCACCATCTCCTCCCAGAGAATATTCAGATATCGTCGAGGTCGGAATCAGGTTGTCTACATTAGGCACAAACAGAAAAACAAAGATTAAAAACAAGTACCATTAACCAATAAATAAGATCTCTTAAACAATGATTCAGCTTAAAGTTGTTAAAGATCAATACAGGCATCAGACAAGTTGAACTCAAATCCGAAGATTCCGGCTCAAATATCGGCGACCTATCACGTAATCGACCTAAAGTTCATTTCAACAATAACTAACTGAAACATATCCGTGCAAATACAATACCTAATTCTGGCCAAATACAGAATTAAGTCAAGTTCATATTGTCGCAACGATTACGAAGATTGTCACTAGAAATATTACTAATAGTGGTAATTTCTTTCTTTTTTTCCTCTACGTGAGTCGGATAGAAAGTGAAATCCCACATCGAAAAGTATAAGAAAATGGGGGAATTCTTCAAGAACACTGAGTTCATGACATGGAAATCATTTTCCAGATATATTCGCAACTTTTCTTTGCTTTTCTCCTTCCCTTTTCCAGCTTCCAGCATCTAAAGATTACTTTTTTTCCCATTTTAGACTTGTTTTGTTTGGTTACTGAGAAAGTGTTTCAAGAGAATAAACTAAGTAAAGTCCCCACCTTCTCCCTTTTCAGGAGAACCCAGAAAAGCATGAAGCTTCAGAAATACAAAAATTTCATTTTTCACACTCTGAAATCACTCAAAAACTGGAAACTATTAGCAGAAACAAGCAGAAGTTTTCTCTTTTGCTCCATTAAAAGCAACAAAGTAAACACAGAAGCAAATGAAAGAAAAAGCAACAAAAAAAAAGACACAATGAACTTGAGATGTTCAATACCGTTGAAGCATTGGGTTTCTGGGTTTTACAGTAATCTCCAAGCTGCTGGAAATCTTGAGCAGCAAAGTTCTGCATGTAAGGGAAAAACAGCCCTGTCTCTGCATACATTTTTCTTTTTAACCAAACAGAAAAAACACACTTTCCTTGATCTTCTCTTAGAAAGAATACAACTTTTCTTAATGAAATTTCACCTTTTTTTTTAATGAAAGGGAGAAATTTTTGGTTTTGAATGATTGAAAGTTTTGAATGAATGAAAGTTTTGAATGAAGGAAGGAATAACACAAGAGTGGGAAGTTCATATATACATGTAAGAATCAGTAGTTACTGTAGAGCTAGTTGTAAGATTTTTGGGAAAGCAAAGAAAGGGTGATGCAATTACTATAACAGGACAAATCGTAAAAGGACATGAAGTACTGTGTTCTGTCCCCACTGTTCCTAATCATGCTCTTAAAAAATACGGTCTCTTCTTCCATGTGTAATAGGGTAAGGAGAGTAAGATAGTAACTTCACTCCAACACTTGGTTGAGAATAATTTTTGTAGGAGACCTCTAAATTATAAAATATTCTTTATGAAACTCGATCCCACGACCTCAAAGTTAAGAACCCTTTCATTTCCTATTTATTTAACATAGTCAAAATCCTTATTAAATTACTTTTGAGAGTATTACGGAAAAAAATAGAAATTTATTGATATTTTAAAATTATTTAAGATTTTATGGTTATTTTTATAAATATTGTTAAAACTATTTTTTAGTAATTTAAGATTGGTTATTATATAATATCTATTTAAGAATTTTCTTAATCATTAACAATATATATATAATCACCGAGAGTATGAGACCGCTTAATTATTTTAGAAAATTATATTTTTATATGTTTGTAAAATAGAAACCAAAATTAATACATATTTTTGTATGTATAATAAACTTATTTTATTCTCAAATTTTTTATCATTCAATTTAGTCCTTATATGTTTATTTTATTAGATCAAATTAGTTTGTGTATTTTTTCATTTGATCTCTATTGAATCTAAAAACCGTTGATGACTATGAATAATTTTAATAATTGTTATAAAATAGTATAAAGTATAAACCCTTAAATATTTTTAAAGTATATTATAAAATAGTATAAAGTATAAACCCCAAAATAATTTTGAAGTATACACAATCTCTATATTTTTAATAGTGTTTTCTAAATTAACCTGTTTTAGTGATGATAATATTTAATTAAGGTGCAATTGATTTATTTATTATTGAAGTGAATGCACCATGCTGGGTTCCGACTGTCTGTGGGCTGGATAGTGCTCATCACAATTACCCTTTTTTTATAATATCTTTATGTCGCATTGGAACAATTTTTCCCACGCGGCTTTTTCTTGCGCGCATGTTTACACTTTTCTAGAGTACCTACAAAATATTTTAGTTTACGGAATGTAAGATTATTAACGAATAGGATTATCGAGAATGTTATATTTTGTGTTTAGTTGGTTTAACAGGAATATAAGATTACCGTGTTTGGTTAAAGGAATAAAAGATTATTAGAATATATATTTAATCAAATTGTTCTTATTATATATTTGTTCTTTTAACAAGTTGAAAATATTTATATATTTTCTTTAAAAAATTTAAGTTCATAAAATTTATAGAATTTTTTTATAAAATTCATATAAAATTTTAATTATAGATTTTTTTTTGTAAATCTAAAATAGTTTAAGGATAAATTTGTAATTTAACCTTCGTATAATTTTTATTATTTAATGACAGAAAAATAATATTTTTGAAAGAAAAAAAATATTTAAGAGCATTTTAGTCCAAAACAACAGTGTATGATTATAAATATATTTTTTGGAGTGATTATTTGATATACATTTGACATTTTTTTAATATAATGCATTTAATTTATTATCATGTGTTTTTAATTAATATTTAAATAAATAAAGTGTATGATTACATATTAAAACAGATTGAGAAAGAAAAACATCTCATTCTTTGTATATGCACATTGTATTGATCATTAAGTGGGAAAAATATACTCTTTTGAAACAAAAATAACTTACTGGTCATTCATTCAATAGTTTAAAAAATTGACGAATTATTGTACGAATCAAACGATTTCAGTGACAAAATAATTGTTGTTATCCTTATAATATATTCTATTATTTATTTCAATAAATACTATTTTCATTTAAAATCTAATAAAACATTATAAAGAAAGAAAGAGACAACAACAACAAGTTTTTTTTTCTATACATAAAATTGATAAAAACAAAACAAAATATCTTAATTTTAGTTAATTTTAGGTACAAGGGCTAAATAAATTATTGATATAACGTTTGGGAAAGACGCCAAAAATGAATAAAATTATTGCAACTATAAATGCAAAATTTCTAAATATTTTTTCTTAAAACATGTCCTTTTTTCTTGCATATTATTTGAGAATTTAAAATTACTCAAAGGGAATATCACTAAAAATGGAAAGCTATAAAGGAATTCGAATCCATTAAAAGAAAAAGAAAAAAAAAAGTTTTGCTAGGGTTCATTATCAAAGCAATTATTGTAGGTTAGAAAGCAAAGCTATATCCTCTAGAACTCACATGCTTACAATATAATATTTTAGATGATTTAGAATTGAATCGGATTATATAAATTTCGATCATATAAAAAAGCATATGTTTATAGAAACTATATATTAAATTAAAAAAGGATTTATGAAACAGCTCTTAATAATATAAAAACTCGTGTATTTATATGAACAAATGCTTTATGATCGAATCAGGTCATGATAATATTATAATACTCACATACTTTTAAGTTTTATAATTTAAATTTTTTTTTGGGTATCCCGAGGTATCCCTAGGCTTCGCCTGGGACTAATCCTTCGAGGTACTGTCGGGCACTAAAGGTGGGGACCTCTTCCTAGAAAGTTTGATGCATCCACAAGAGCTCGAACTAGAGACCACTTGCTTAAGCGACCATAGCCCCTTCCACTCAGGCCAACCTTCGTTGGTATAAATTAGTACTCTTCTTAACTACATTTTTATTTTTAATCATTACTACTCTTCTTCTAAACTACATTAAAGTTTAGTGAACAATATTAATTACATTAAAGTCAAGGCGGAATAAAATTTATTTTGAGGTGTCAAATTTAGAAATTATATGATTTTTTAAAAAAAATAGATGAAATTTAAGAACCGTGTCAATTTATGTTTAAACATGCCAATATTTAAAAAAACACGTTAATTTTATTTTATTTTTAAATATTTTTATACTAAATTTATAAAAAAAATTAAGATGTCACATGATACTCCTCTTTATATAGTGGCTCCGCCGGTGATTAATGTTAAAATACATAAAGATCCATTAACTGATCGAGTGATAAAACATATTTATATTATTCTATTTCATGCGAATTCAAATCTTAATATTTATTTTAAAAATATAATATTTTCTACTTAATCTAAAAAAAATATTAACAGACATAATATTTAAGGATTAAATTTTAATATAAATGATCCCCACCACCTTTCAATAACATGTGTTCACATATTTTATAAGTGATATTGCGATAGTAATTTAATAATACTCGGATTAGCTTCTAGAGGCAAAAAAAAAGACACAAGAAACTAATGTTTTATATCATTACATCTTTCTTTTCATGTTCCAATTCTCTTTTTGTTAAGAACTTTAATCAAAGATGGTATTATTTAATGTTGAAAGAGCACTACAATAATAATAACAATGACAAGCATATGATCCAATCATATTGGAGTTAAGGACTGTCCACAATCCATGCCCAACTTGCATCTTTCTATATCAATAGTAAATAAATATATATTACAATTACATGTTTAAATTAAAATATTCAATACCAACATAAAACAAAAATTATATATTTTTAATTTATTTAAAATTTAACATGCATAATTCATATAAATAAAGATACGAATAGTTATCACTGACTAAGCTAGTAAAAAAGTAATAGCTTAGTCACTGATAATAAAATAAACATTCAGTTAACCTTCAACAATAAATCAATAACAAATTTAATAAATGGTATAAATAGAAAAAAAAAATATGTTCTATATGAAAATATCTAATATTTTAAAAATTAAGATTTGAGCATGCGATGTAAACAGAAAACTAAATGTCGGTGTTGATAGGGATGGTAACGGGGCGGTTTCGGGCCGGGGATTGGTCCCCGTTCTCGTCCCCGTTTAAAAAAACTCATACCCGTCTCCGCTTAAAAAATCGCGAGGATTTAAACGGGAATCTCCATCGGGTAATCGGGAAAAACCGCGGGGAAACGGGTATCTCCGTTTAGCATAAACGGTTATTTAAATGGGTATCGGGTCGGGTATAGGGCTGGGTATATACATTTAAATTATATATATATATATATAATTTAAATTAAATTTATTAATATTATATATATATAATAATAATTTTTAATATTTATCGGGTCGGGTATCATGTCGGGTATTCGGGTAATCGGGGTGTGGATTACCAAACCCGTCCCGTTTAAAACATTCGATTTTTCCCCGTCCCCGTCCCCGTTTATCATCCTCGAACCCGACCTGTTTAATTCGATTTTCCCTTATAGGTTCGGGTTTTTTTTTTTTGCCATTCCTAGTGTTGATTTGAAGATGAAATTGAATGTTGACTATGGAAGATAGACTGCAAAAATCATATCCAACAAGATAACCCTTTCACCGGCCAAAGTTCCCATATAATGCGACAGGGAATGTTTAATTCTCAAATTAAAGTGTTCATTCGATTAATTCCTCAAATTAGGTGTTTTCTACAGTAAATTTGGGATCTCTCGATATCTTCAGGGTTAATCAGATTTTTTTATTGTTTATTGGATCTCTAGGCGTCTTTAGTGGAATCTATGAAAAAATTTGGCTTTTTTTACACAAATATCACCTTAATATAAATTAATTACTTGTTAAGCACTGTTTAAGAATATTTTACGGATCTAGTAAATTTTTAAATACTTTTTATAAATTTAATCATATTTTGTTAGTATTTTTTTAATTATTTTATTATTTTATTATTTTATTTAATTATTTTATTTTTTTACAGTTATAAAATGGAAAGTGGTCCTTGAATAATTATATTCGTATTTCTCGACTTTTAAACTTTTCTCTCGGCTGTAAATACGCCCTCAACCTGTAAACATTCACATCAATCATCTAAACTAGAAGAATGTCGTCGCTTCAGTA